TATTTATTTATATTTACTTATTTACATTTTTTTTAATTTTCTTAATAACTAATCATTCATCTTAACTTAATAATTTATCTTATTTTAATCTTAATTATTTATTTGTATAAATGTTTAATTATTTCCGAATTTATTTATGTTAATCTTATTATATATGAATTATTATTTATATATTTATTTACTTGTTTTAATGTAATTTATTATTAGATTAATAATATATATATTTTTTTTTTACTTATTCATTTATATGTTTTTGTTATACACTAATTATTTTTAAATAATTATTTAGTAAGTAATAATTCATATTAAACTTTTATTATTATTATTATCATCATTATTATTATTATTATTTATTTATTTATTTCTACATTTTTTACACTGTTTTCCCCAAACTTTTCCATGGACCCTGTTCTACTCCCTTGTAGCCTCCTAAATAAGATATCATTATTTATTTTGTATTATATAGATATTTTTTTGTTATTTTCAAGTGTTTGATTGGATCTGGTGTTGAATTATTATTCTAGTGCTTTCTGTGATCATTAACTCTTCTGATTATCAGCTTGTGTGTGTGACCGCAGAGACTGACCATGAGAAAGCGCCGTGTTTAATGTCATTATACGTGTGGTTTTTATCAGTGCGACGTGTTGCTTCATAATGAAGCCGAATCTGAGGCTCTTTACAGAGTGCTGCGGTGCGGCGGACGCTCAGAGCCGCGAGTTGCTTTTAAAGGCTGGATTTATTGTCCCGCTCAGCGTGCAGGTCCCATAACTTTCTAGTTAGCCACTACTGGTTTCATGTTTACAGACGGAGCTGAGGAGAAAATTCACACATCGCGCTCGACACGCACAAACAGCAGAGGGAGACCGCAGGCGCCAGTCCACCCCTGCTGAGACCAACGCCACTGGTCACACACACACAGAGCGCTGTTCACACTCGCCCCCACCGGAGACCCCCAACACTCGCCTTTGAACAGTTTTGGGCGACTTCCCCCTCTTAAATCTCAGGAGTGGGAAAGGTCCCCCAGTCGACACAAGCACACTCCGTGAGAGGATAACACATCAACACAAGCGCTTTAACGTCTCTGTTGTTTCTGAAGAGCTTCTGTTTCTCCTCAGATAAAAAAAGAGTCACTTGAGTGTCCAAAGAGAGAGAAAGAAATGAAAGAGATCTCAGCAGTGTCCCCAAAAGTGCTCAGATTTGAGTTTGCAATCAACGGTCCTCGATATGAACTTAAAGGCACAATATGTAAGATTTTTTTATTAAAATATCCAAAAACCACTAGAACAGTGTTATATATTTTGCTGACTTGTGTACTTACATTATCTCAAATGTTTCGAAGAGTGTTTAAATCCAGAGAAATAAGCAATTTTAACTAGCGACACGGAGCGTGTCTATAGTGTCATTGTGTCGCCTGCTGATGACTCGATGCTCGATTTCCGGTTTTGTAGAAAACATGGAAACACCAAAGACGCTTTGCCTTTAAATCATTTGGGGGGAAAAACAATATGAAGACAATTTTGAGAAACAGGCTTACATCTGAATCACAAAACCTCTTACAAACATGTCCAGCTCATCTATCGCCCCTAAATAACAAGTATTGTTCATATATGTATCGTTTCAGTGTGAAGTCAATTATGATATATTATTTAAGGGCTGTTTTAGGGGGTCCATGGAAAAGTTTTGGGAAAAATGGTGTAAAAAATATAGAAATTAATACAAAAATAAAAAATAACATCAAGATAAATTAATTATTTTATAATAAGTAAATCTAAATAAACAAATAAATATTATTAATCAAATAAATAAATAAACTTCTAAGAGAAAGAGAAACATCTGAGATACAGTTGATAAATGTTTGAGTTCATATTAAGTTATTTGATTTTTAATTTCAGACTTTATGTATCATGAGTCAAATTTTTTGTAATATTTATTTATTTGTTTTAGTTTTAATTATTTTAGTACTTTAACTTAAAATAAATGAAAATGAGAAATATTGCAATGGCAACTACATGAAATAAAATAAGGTTACGTTTTTTAATATAATATGTGATGTAAAATATATTTTATTTCAGTTATCATTTATGTATTTCAAGTAACAAAAATGTGTTTTTTTTATGGTTAACTTTAGCTTACTGGGTCTTTTTCTCGTGAGAAGCAGGAGCAAAAGTTGAAGAAATCATTGAGGAGTTGTGATGATCTGATGTTCTCTGTGTCGTGTTTTCATTCGCAGCACAATCAGAGTACGAGACTGAAGACGAGCAGCTGCAGGAGGCACAGAAGAGGTAAGAAACACCACGTCAAGGTGATAATAACTCTCACTGCAGCCATTAGAGTCACCTGATAAGAAACCTACATAGACAGCATCATGACTAATGCGACCTCATCAGAGAGCGATTGAGAGATAAACACAGATTTAATAAGACTGAATTATTTATTTTGCCATTTTTAGTATTGAATGGAATACTATTCAAAAGTGTGGGTTAGTAAGATTGTTTAATGT